TGCATTGGAGAAATGGTTGTCTCGTGTCTAATCTGTGGCCGAATTGGTGTAAATGTGGGTAAAATAAGCGCCGCTTTGAATACAATATCCGGCAGTCATTTGTCGGACTCGGAGTACAAGGAATTGGTTTTATTCGGCAATGCGTTAAGAAATACGCCGACCGTTGGCTTCACTATCGGAGGGTTCGCTGCGATTAACAAATCAACGCTTATTTCTGTTAGTATTTATTTAAAAGTTATTGTATATTATATTTAATTAATTATTTTTACAGATATTTATATTTGTGCTCAACTATACTGTAATACTGCTTCAATCGACTCGTTAATTGTAATATTTATTTGCATGCACTGAAATATTAATTTGTTAATTTATACTTTTAATAAATAGCATAATACATTGGTTCAATTGTGAAATGTTACTTCTATTGAAATTTTATGCATCACATTTGAGTATTTTATTTATTTAAGATTGATGTCGTTACTTAATAAAATTAATGTTTTAAAATAATTAATTAATATAATTATGTTGATACTTAATATTAATGTTTATTAATGGTTATAATATAAATTAGAATTTAATAATCTTATAAATGCACATTTAACTTATAATTAAATATTACATTAATAAAATCAATAAATATTCTTTTATTAATCTCATGTAAATCAAAAATGTATATAAAATTCCATTTCTGTTGAATTAAAGTTTATCATGTCAATATTAAATATTTTGTCCATATTGTAATATTCCATTTATTTATTAATTTGTAAATTATTTACTATTTACATTAATGCATTGATTAAATAAACTCAATTTTTAATATAAAAATGAAGTTAATAAATAACATGTAATAAAAATAATATAAAAATATATTGCAATTTATTAAATAACAAATATAATTATTGTATAAAATAATTTATATAATCAATCTCTGTACTCTACTACATAATATTTAACTACATTTCCTAAAATCATGAATATAAATTATATATTAATACATGTGATGCTATGGACACATCGGGTAATGGGTATAACGTTTGGCGGACTAACTGTTGACAAAACCGGTAAACTTTCAGCGAAAACCTACTGTAAAATCTACGGCTATATTATTACTCTATTATCGTTTGCACTCGATTGTTTATTCTTAATAGCATTGATTATCGTAACAAATAATCTAGTACCATTAGCAAATACAAAAAACCATCGCTTATTATATATAGCAATTGCCCTGGTTGTTATGCAAGGTATATTGTTTGCCTATAAAACGGTTACCCTGTTATATATTAATGGCGGTAAAGGTTTTAAATTAATTTCCAAAGTAAAAATAATTCTTGCTATTGAAGGCAAATACAGAGTAATTAAACGCATGGACTATATGTTAGTATTAATTATACGGCTCGCCCATGCTGCATTGATCATAATCGTCTACGTCTATATTGTTGCCTTTTACTCTGAAGCTACTAATATTTACGTATTTATGATCCTAAATGGTCATTTTTATATATTTGTGCTATTTTCGTGGACATTACCCAGTATTATGTGGGTGATTTCCATATCATGCGCAAATATAATGGAGTCTATAGCGACCAGGATGCATAATTTAACTAAAGAATACCCAGGTTAATATTGTTTTTATTACTTAATTAAATTATGTAAACTAAATTATTATATTTTTAATTTCTCTCTCTCTTTCTCTCTCTCTCTCTCTCTAGAATTTGAAAGAATATTTCTATTGAGAAGTAAATTAACAGAAATCGTAGAAAATAAAAAACAATTTGTAAACATATGTGAAATACTGTCAGAATTAGACGAAAGTCTCAAATATGTGTTAATATTAAACACAATTAACACGATATACGCGGCGTTAACACAAATCTATGTGGCAATACTAGTTGAATCACAATTTCACTCAAGCATATCCGATCTGTTAGTGTTGTGGTCAATGGCAACCATGTCTTGTATTATCGAAATGATGGTCTCGTGTCTAATGTGTGGCCGAATTGGTGTAAATGTGGGTAAAATAAGCGCCGCTTTGAATACAATATCCGGCAGTCATTTGTCGGACTCGGAGTACAAGGAATTGGTTTTATTCGGCAATGCGTTACGAAATCCGCCGACCGTTGGCTTCACTATCGGTGGGTTTGCGGCCATTAATAAGTCAACACTTATTTCCGTTAGTAATGTTTTAATAAAAATTTTTATAAGTTTTTTTTAATAATTAAATATTTATTAACTTATTTATTTAACTAGATATTTGTATTTGTTCTCAACTACACTGTTCTTCTACTTCAATCGATAAGATAATACATAAATAAAATTGAATTGTACTCTTCATTTGAATCGACGCAACGTTTATTAATTTTAACTACATTTTTAAACAATTCAATTAAAGATACATAAAATGTAATTTTAAAATCTAGTTAATTAAATTTGATATTTTTAATAAAAATTAATTGTCTAAATCAATATACATTTAAGTGTTGTTTGAGAGGCACAGGCGGTGCGAACCGTAGGTTTCCGATCGGAGGCTCAGCATATGATATATTTATAAACCGGTGTACCAAACATCACAATTAGAGTGACCAACCGTACAGGTTTGGCCTGTACAGTACAGGATTTGGACACTCTGTTCAGTGTACAGGCAGGTGTCTCGCCTGTACTATGTAATGTCCAGGCGAGAAATTGATAAAAATTAGATCAAATATTATACTTTTATAACAATATTATTGGTATTTTGTCAAAATTGTAGTTGAAACAAGTTTATATTTTAAATTTCAATTAATTTATCTCATCATAATATACACAATTTTATCTGTACAGGAATGCGATATATGGTTTGTACAAATTACGATTACCTATAATTATGCTCTGTTGAGAAAAGTAGTGTCCAGGTGAGCGTACAGGGAAGTTTACTAAAATGTACAGGAATGTCTCGGAATATATGATAAAAGTATAGGAAATGTACAGGTTTCTTATTTTTCGAGTTGGTCACTCTAATCACAATACCCAAACGTGGTAACACCATTTGGTAAACAGGTTTTTCTCTGTCAATGAGAACACGTGTTGTACTGAATATGCATATTATTTGAAGTTACATTTCATTTCCTTTTCCATTAGGTTTAAGTTTACTTCAAATAATAATCTCATTTTGTTTTGTAATTAATTTGGTTTTAATTCTTATTTGAAAATGTGTTCAAAATTAATGATTGTTTCGTTGATTGAAATGAAGAGTAAATTAAATGCAATGAAGAGTTTGTGTGAAATAATTGGTGTTTAGTAAAGTGACCATAATTTTTAGTCTTATATTGACATTTAGACCAAAAATTCACTCTAGTATTACGCCGCATATAGGTGCATGCATTTATAAGTGAATTTCACAAATTTTGCATGTCACCAAAACTACCGCACTTATATCCGGATATAAGTGCACCCCTTGTGTAAAAATCACATATAAATGATACAGTATAGTATACAGTAAGGTCTGGGTTAAATAGAATTTATAGTATAGCATACTATGGTAACCAATCGATTTGAAAATCCGTTATTTTCAAAAATTAGATTTTCTAAACTAAATTAAACGGGATTTTTAAAATTGTTGTTTTAATTTGAAATCGTGTTTATTGGTCTACAAAACCGTGCCATTCATTTGTCTGTATGTCTTGTGGTTTAGGAGTAATCTTCTCCCGAAGACACCCGTTTATCGAAACCGTGTTACTGGTACCGTGAAAAAATTTTTCTCTATTATTTTACGACATTTCACAAAAACATACTTCTAGTCTATTTCTTTTATTGTTAATCTATATTTAATATTGTTAAGATCCAGTCAATTTAAAAATTCCATCACATTAATTTTTTTAATATATTGATTGCCATTGAATAGCATTGCCAAAACTATTTCGTGAGTGCACTTTTTCGGGTGAGAATTACTCCCGAACCACAAGACATACAAACAAATGGATGGCACGGTTTTGTAGACCAATAAACAGTATTTCAAATTAAAACAACAATTTTAAAAATCCCGTTTAATTTAGTTTAGAAAATCTAATTTTTGAAAATAACGGATTTTCAAATCGATTGGTTATACTATGGTATTAGTGACATTAGTATAGTACATATTAGTATAGCATTTGTAATGTAATATTGGCTCCTGAAGTGCTCTCACGCACAATGAAGGTTACTATAATTTTGGATAACATTTGTGCTGATTTTGGGAACTATTTGATCATTCTTTGGCGACTTTGTCTTTAATTCTTTATAGCATTGCATAGAATTGCAAATAAAATACATGAATAGACTAAACAAAAGTTTTTTATTCACTGCTTGTCGTGTTTTTATTGACTACAAGGCATAAGAAAACAGTATTTCCTTCTTCTATATTGATTTGCAAAGTTTTTTGACAAAAACCAAAAATAGATGAATTGAATGAAAATATAGTGTCTGAGCAAAGGATCGGCTCATTAAAGGTAAGAACTTCTTTGCCTCTAATTTAGTGCAACAAAATTGTGAGACTTTCGCACAAAAAGAGAACAAATCCCCAAAGAGTGACAATATATAGAGTGTACAGCAGTTTATTGTTCAATATATGGAGAGTATAATAAAATTAATAGAAACACCATTCAATATACTGTATATACTTTAGCCTTGCCACCAAATATTCTGGCAATCTTATATTTTTCCAATGATTGCTATATTGTCTTGCATTACAATTTATTTTTATTAATTTATTTAATATTTATATGTGACCTATAATCAAAAAATCATAGTTAGTATCCATGT